AAAAAATAATTGACAGAAGAATTTGTTTGCAAAATAATCATTAGTTGCAGCCCTAATGTAAACATTTATTGTAAATTACAAGAATCTTATATGCTTGATGTGTTGAACATGTTATATGTGGACATATTAAACAATAATATAACCTCAATATACAAGAATTGTTAATAAAATGGCAAAATTTGCTTAAAATGTTCACTTTTTTCAAAGTTTTTCTGCAGAAAACCTCAGTATGTATTTTCCAGCTTAATTTTTCATCAACTTATAACTCCTAAGAAAATGGTTGGAAGTACCGTCATTCATTCTGAGCCATTCAATTAGTCATCTGTTAAACCCCTTTTCTTTTTTTTTTTTTTCTTTTTTGGTGATTAGCTGCAATCCAAAACAACATCCATCAACACTATGACCAAAGCCATCAGGCTCTTCACAGCTACAACTCCTATGGCGGGGTGACGGAAAACAGCGGAGGTGCAGGTAGAGACCGGCTGCCCTCAGGAACCCCCTCTGCCTCAACCCATCCTTCTCCGAGCCACCATCCAGGTAACGGCATGCATATTTCTTTGTAGGGTTATCATGGTACTAAAATAGCAAACTCACTATCAATACGAAGGAAAATATTTTATACTTGATACCATTTTCGATATGGTGGGGACAGAAAATGACAAAGGCAGGGAAAAAAATTATTAACATGAAAGAAACTCACTGTTTTTTCAATCTCAACTTTGAAAAACTTTCTCAGCAGAACCACAGATGCTAGTTAAATAAGTGCAAATGAATGCAAAATAAATTATCGAAATATAACACAATTTGAATATGTTTTAGTATTTGTTCTTTTCAATTGCAAATAAAGCAGACATTTAAAATGAACAACAGCAAAAATATGCAAACAACACTTGTCTTTAGTATCGACACCTTTGTCATATTAGTATTGTACCCAGATACAGTGTTTATTGATTTAGTTGACAACTCAGTTTTGGGTTTTAATTGTTCTACATATTTGCATCATAAAATGCAAAGATGGAAAGTTAACATTTTCATTAACAAGTTGCATGTTTGTGTTTAAGGATTCTTTCATCACAGACATGATTGAATTTTTGTTGCATGTCTTTGAGTTCAGCTATTTTACTGAACTTAGGTTCAGCCAAAGTAAAAAGGCATGTGAAAGGTTAAGATTGGCACAGCTGCACTAGTAGTTTGGCACACGTGATCTGCTGTGCACACAAAACACTTTTCACATGCGCAGGTGTCTAAGTCTGGATGCAAATTTTCAGGGTCAGAAATGTGCTGATGGTTTATGTCTTACCCAAGGTGTTTTTTTTTTTTTTCTTTTGATAGTATCAGTACGACAGAAAGCCTGCAGTAGTTGCACTTGTGTATTTTTGTGATTCAAAAACCCATCTGCAGTGTCAGACGTTAAGAGGGAGAACAAATACACCTCAGCTTCCTTTAACTTGTGCTGGTAACATGTAGCATTTCATGAACATTAGGGCTGTGCTAATATGAGGCTTGATTTAGAACTGGAAAATCCTTTTTTCATTCTTAAAGATTGGTTCATATAAGCAAAGTTTGATTTATGAAAAGTCCACAGCTAATTAACTGTTTATTAGAGGTCTTATACTATGCCACATTTGAAAATATAAAATATTAATGAGGTCCTCGGAGTCTGTTTTTGTCGTTTGTACAGTAACTCGCTGCTTCTGTCGCGCCAGCTGCGTCCTGAATGCAGCATTAGTCATTCATGGCGTTCGC